AACTGTGCTACAGGTCTTCTGCTTGCCTGATAGCCTAGCTTGCTGCTCACTAGCAAACGTGCATATGCTCACAAGCACCCCTGCCCTGAATCCCTTGACTATCATCATGGACTGTACTCCTATTTAATATTCCTGCCTGGACTTTGGACCTCCTGCTCCCTGGCTCATCCAGTTTGAAGTTTGCTAACAAATTACACGCCCCAGTGCTGATGCATATCAGCACTCCAGCCGCCTCTCTGCCCCTCCACCTTCTAAACCAGTAGCTGGCACACAGGCCCTGGGGGCAGCACTTCCCTGTTCCAGGTGCTGATGCCGAGACCTTCATTTGCTTCACATCAGCCACCCCAGTAGCTGGCACCTGCAACACAGGCCCTGGGACCTGTGGTTCCCTCTCAGGCTGCTGACAGAGACCATTGCACCACTCCAGTTTCCCTAGTAGCTGGGACATAAACGTGGTGACACACAGTCTCACTCTGATTGCTACTACTTAGACTTGCTTCAGTTGCTAGCACCATGGATGCGGGGTACATATTATTTCAGGTTGACTTCAGTTGTTGACTTGAGCACAAGAGTGCTGGTCGCTGTTTAAATGTCACTTCCTCCATGCTCAGGAGCGGTGCATCCCCCTGAGAAAGAAATCGAACAAAGGAGGCAGGAGACCTGCATGGTTAAACAAGGAGCTTCTAGCGGAGATCAGGCAGAAGAGAAAGGTCCATGGAATGTGGAAAGAGGGACAGGCCACTTGGGAAGAGTACAGAAACGTGGTGAGAGCATGCAGGGATGCGACGAGGAAGGCCAAGGCTCACCTGGAATTGAAGCTGGCAAGGGATGTCAAAAACAACAAGAAGGGCTTCTTCAACTACATCAGCAGCAAAAGGAAGGCTAGGGACAACGGGGTGCCGCTGCTGAATGAGGCGGGTGTCCTGGTGACGGAGGATGCGGAGAAGGCAGAGCTACTGAATGCCTTCTTTGCTTCAGTCTTCAGTGCTAAGACTGGCCCTCAGGAATCCCAGGCCCCGGAGGTAAGAGAGGAAGCCTACAGAGAGGACGACTTTCCCTTGGTCGAGGAGGACTGTGTGAGGGATCGCTTGAGCGATCTGGATGTCCACAAATCCAGGGGCCCGAATGGATGTCACCCACGAGTGCTGAGGGAGCTGGCGATGTCATTGCTGAGCCCCTCTCCATCATCTTTGAGAGGTCCTGGAGGACAGGAGAGGTGCCCGAGGACTGGAGAAAGGCCAATGTCACTCCAATCTTCAAAAAGGGCAAGAAGGAGGACCCAGGGAACTACAGGCCAGTCAGCCTCACCTCCATCCCGGGAAAGGTGATGGAGCAGCTTATCCTGGAGGCCATCATCAAGCAAGTGGAAGAAAAGAAGGTTATCAGGAGTAGTCAGCATGGATTCACCAAAGGGAAATCATGCCTGACCAATCTGATAGCTTTCTACAATGACAGGACTGGCTGGGTAGATGAAGGGAGAGCCATGGATGTTGTCTACCTTGACTTCAGCAAGACTTTCGACACAGTCTCCCATAATATCCTCCTAGGGAAGCTGAGGAAGTGTGGGCTGGATGAGTGGTCGGTGAAGTGGATAGAGAACTGGCTGAATGGCAGAACTCAGAGGGTTGTCATCAGCGGCACTGAGTCTAGTTGGAGCCTGGTGACAAGTGGTGTCCCCCAGGGGTCAGTACTGGGCCCAGTCTTGTTTAACTTCTTCATCAACGACCTGGATGAAGAGTTAGAATGTACCCTCAGCAAGTTTGCTGACGACACCAAACTGGGAGGTGTGGTAGATACACCAGAAGGCTGTGCTGCCATTCAGCGTGACCTGGATAGGCTGGAAAGCTGGGCAGAGAGGAACCTGATGAGGTTCAACAAGGGCAAGTGCAGGGTCCTGCACCTGGGGAGGAACAACCTCATGCACCAGTACAGGCTTGGGGTGGACCTGCTGGAGAGCAGAGAGGGACCTGGGTGTCCTGGTGGACGACAGGTTAACTATGAGCCAGCAGTGTGCCCTGGCTGCCAAGAAGGCCAATGGGATCCGGGGTTGCATCAATAAGAGTGTGGCCAGCAGGTCAAGGGAGGTTCTCCTTCCCCTCTACACTACCCTGGTGAGGCCTCATCTGGAGTACTGTGTCCAGTGCTGGGCTCCCCAGTTCAAGAAGGATGAAGAGCTACTGGAGAGAGTCCAGCGGAGGGCTACAAGGATGGTGAGGGGACTGGAGCATCTCCACTACGAGGAGAGGTTGAGGGAACGTAGGTGACCCTGCTTTGACAGGAGGGTTGGACTAGATGACCCACAGAGGTCCCTTCCAACCCCTACCATTCTGTGATTCTGTGAATTTACTCCCCTGAGTCTCCCCCGTAGCTAGCACCCTGGACCCATGCTCCTTAGGTCCATGGCCACGCTGGCTACCAACACTGAGGCTCTCACTGGCTTTGTTTGTTGGCACTACTGACATGATGGCCTGAGATCTTCTGACTCCATTGCTGGCCCCAAATTCACTCCAGTCTCTCCAGCTGCTGGCATCTAGTCCTTACAGCACTCATACATGGGGTAGAGAGTGTGGTTACGTGGAAAGATCATCAAGAAAGGATTTAATAACAAAATAGGATAGACTCTGGTGATCATGCACAGGGCTCAGTCAGACAAGTGTACTGATGTGCTGCTTTTTTAAAAGGAACCCCTTTTATAGCCCTTCTCCTTCCCGACTCAGTTGCTTTAAACATTTCTTAATAAGTTTTGCATAGCCCTCAGGCCCCTCTCAGATACCCCAAATCCTCCTGTCCCTCTTGTTTCACCCAGCTTGTTCATTATGAAGTCCAGGTTGGCCCTCTAAAAGCTATGGTTCAGTTTCATAATGGCCTGTCCAGTAGTGACCAGAGAGTTTGTCACTATCTTTGTTATCCTTTGTCTATTACATTTGTGTCCATGTGCTTTGTTTATGACTTTCCCTATTACTCTTTGAATGGCAAAGTTCTTTGATCTGATAATCCTAAGGAAGCAGATGTTCTGACATGCCACATACCCTTACAAATACGTGTGGGGGTAGCCAAATTCTGCCGAATGGGAATGGTATTGGTTCTTCAGCTAGAAATTATCATCTTGTCTCAGTCTGAGTTGAAATATGATCTGAAAATAGCAATCACAGGAGAGGATTTTAAATTTCTTTCCTGTGGAGTTTAGGTAAAGTGGTGATATCTATGAAATATGTTTTACTAATGATTTTTGTGTTGTGTTTAGTACATTTATCTGTCCATTGGAGAAGCAAATGAGCTAGCAGCAGATGAGATTTCACAGCAGTGAAACACTGAAATCACATGCATCTCAATATATATGCTAGTTAGTTTTCTACATGAATGGCAAAACCATTAATATTTGTAACATTTATTTTGAAAGGCCAGAGCTGTGATAAGGGGTCGGCAGACTGCCTACTGGAATCTTTTGACCCACTGTATACTTCCTAGAAAACCTTACCGGGTGTCCTTTCAGCTGGTCTATGACAAGGCTTTGATGTGCTGAGAACAGGGTCATAACATGGGGCAGCTGCGTCTCAGAAAAAATGAACAGGGAAAGCAGAAGGAATTGCTGTTCAGACGAGAGTTTGTCACTATCTTTGTTATCCTTTGTCTATTACATTTGTGTCCATGTGCTTTGTTTATGACTTTCCCTATTACTCTTTGAATGGCAAAGTTCTTTGATCTGATAATCCTAAGGAAGCAGATGTTCTGACATGCCACATACCCTTACAAATACGTGTGGGGGTAGCCAAATTCTGCCGAATGGGAATGGTATTGGTTCTTCAGCTAGAAATTATCATCTTGTCTCAGTCTGAGTTGAAATATGATCTGAAAATAGCAATCACAGGAGAGGATTTTAAATTTCTTTCCTGTGGAGTTTAGGTAAAGTGGTGATATCTATGAAATATGTTTTACTAATGATTTTTGTGTTGTGTTTAGTACATTTATCTGTCCATTGGAGAAGCAAATGAGCTAGCAGCAGATGAGATTTCACAGCAGTGAAACACTGAAATCACATGCATCTCAATATATATGCTAGTTAGTTTTCTACATGAATGGCAAAACCATTAATATTTGTAACATTTATTTTGAAAGGCCAGAGCTGTGATAAGGGGTCGGCAGACTGCCTACTGGAATCTTTTGACCCACTGTATACTTCCTAGAAAACCTTACCGGGTGTCCTTTCAGCTGGTCTATGACAAGGCTTTGATGTGCTGAGAACAGGGTCATAACATGGGGCAGCTGCGTCTCAGAAAAAATGAACAGGGAAAGCAGAAGGAATTGCTGTTCAGACCCTGCTGTACAGGTAGTCTGGGTGCGAAGGTCCAACTTTTGCAGCCACAGTGTGACCAGTGCAAGCTTAGGAAGCCCCTAGGGGCTTACACTGATTTGATAGTAACAGTTCCTGGCTCTGTATTAGTGAGCAGAAGAAGGCATGACACTGTGCTTGTGGCATGAACAGAAAATAAAGTATTTAGCCTTTGGTGGTCTCCCTTACTGACCAGATGGGTCAGATAGAAGTATTGCTTGGGTGAGATCTGCTTGCAGACTACAGATTAGACTTCGCTCTGCTTTTGACTTGTAATTCTGATGCCTAATGCTTCTGTTAATGTCATTGCGTCAAAGAGACTTGATCATGCCTTGCTCTCAGATTTGTGCTGAGGATTGTAAAAACTTGGAGTGGGGTTGATCCTCAAGAATTCATACAGTCCAAGAATAAAATAAGAGATAGCAGACAGGGAAGCACAATTAAACACTGCTACTTGGTGTCAGCACTGTACTTGGCATACTAGCATCTGGAGGAAGATCTAAGAAGTGAGTGCTGGGCACTTAACATTGTATCTGATAAATTAGAAAGACAAATACTGTGAACATCCTTTTTCCCATGGAGTTATTAAAGCTGCAAGATCCGCGATAATGCAATGTTTATAGGAAGGCATATTATTCATGGACTGTTTCATTTCATTTGGTCTTTTCAGGTGTTCCAGGACCTTGGCACGTCTGTGTTATCTGGTGCATTCAGAGGATACAACATCTGCCTCTTTGCATATGGACAGACAGGTTCAGGAAAAACTTACACAATGATGGGAACACCTGTGAGTTACACCATTCATTTTACACTTAGGGTTGAGGGCAGGATGTCCAGCAGAACCATTGCTTTGTTTTTAAACTGCGATTATGGTGCTTGTTAAACAGAATTCTTATACGTGTTTTACTTTGTATTTATATATATAAAATGAGAGTCAAGCCTTTACATTTAGGTAAATAATGTAGCATCAGCTAAAAATGCTAGAAAATATGGTGTAGTTTAAATATTTCAGATAACCTTCATCTTACTATATGTGAATCTTATGGCCATGTTAGAAGACAAAACAAATCTATACGCCACATAGTTCTGGTTTTTAGAAATGCATAGTTTAAGATAATACAAAGTATTCATTCTCTTGAAATTTTTTGGCAGTCTAGTTATGCTGAAATTAAATTACTGTCACAAATAAACCTGGATACAATTCACAGGAATACTTTTGTAATAGGCTTCATTATCTACTTGAGATGTTTATCTGTTGCAGAAGTTATCCTTTGGCCTGTGGAAATACTTGCTTCACTTCCAGTTTTTAAATGTATTTGAAAGGTGTTTGCAGAAGCTGTTACATTTAAAGATTCTTGTCTACCAGGAACCACTTAAAGTGTATTTTAATCTTGGTACTCAGATTGATGGAGTCATTTGAGAATTTCCTGCATTCTGCTGCAACACAAGGCAATTTGATCTCTATCTATAAATATTCTTGGCTGTTGGTGATATATTCTTCTAAAAAAGAAAAATTTTATTTAACAGTTTGCCTGAGTGGACCACTATTTCCTACACCCATGGGATTCAATTTTTGAGATTAAATAAGGGTAAAATTTGTTCAAACCCTGAAGATAAGAAAAAGAGTGTTCTGGCACAGTTTGTGCTTTTAACAAGAGTTTGGATTTTTAAAGTTTTATTTTCCCCACAGACATCAGCAATAGGATTTTATTAAATCCTGACCTGATTCTCCATTAATTTTATGCAAAATCAAGCTTATCTCCATGAAATCCTGAATAATTGTTAAAATTAGGATTAATAGGTGACAAACTAGGATATTTGTATTACATTATTTTGACAATATTTTAGCAATTCAGGATGGCCACATCTTGAAATTATCATTATTTCCAAGGAAATTTCCAGGTGTAGAGTTTCTAAGAGATTTCTGGCTTATAAAGTGATTTCTTTCTCCAGTGAAATCCTGGTTTTATCTGAAGTTTAAAGGTATAAACTGAACTTTTGTCCATGGTGGTTCACTTGATGACCCTGGACTTGCTCCCCCCAGCACCATTTCAAGTGTGCCATCTAAAAGCTTTTCCATGCTATTCAGCAAGCAGATTCCACCTAAGTCTTAGAGTTTTTCTCGGGGCGTGTTGGGACTGCAATCGCTAAAGTGTGAACAATCATGTCATAAGAACAGTTCATCAGACAAAAACACATCATTACTTCAGTGCTATATAGACTGTTTGGGCAAAGTTTAAATCAGCTAGTTCGGGTACTGTTAGCAGCCCATATGTCATTACTCTCTGAGAGACCAGATTCATAAATCTAGAACATAAAGCTGTTCTAAGCCTGTTCTGTGATGCCATAGCATAAAGAAATAAAAGTAGAATAAAGAAAACCCAAAATATTCATGACCAATCAAGCTAGTTCCAGTGTTGGCCTGGCTTCATCTAGACTGCAGCGTCTCTGGCATAGGTATGTCCAGTATCTTTACATCAAACAGCTCTTGGATTTAACCCAAGCCCCTAAACTTCTCATCAAGGCTGTATAAGTTGCTCTAAAATGACTTTTGCTATAAATAGCATTTGCACTGAAGCTAAGACACCTGATGTTACACAGCACACAAGTCCCTGCAGTGTTTCACGTGCAAGATGCTTCAGCAGGCCATGCTGTTCATAGTCATTACTTTAATGCTGCACTATGATTCTTCAGCAAAGCTTTCGACACTGTCTCCCATAACATCCTCCTAGGGAAGTTCAGGAAGTGTGGGCTGGATGAGTGGTCGGTGAGGTGGATTGAGAACTGGCTGAAAGGCAGAACTCGGAGGGTTGTCTTAAGCGGCGCTGAGTCTAGTTGGAGGCCGGTAACTAGTGGTGTCCCTCAGGGGTCAGTACTGGGCCCAGTCTTGTTTAACTTCTTCATCAATGACCTGGATGAAGAGTTAGAATGTACCCTCAGCAAGTTTGCTGATGACACCAAACTGGGAGGAGTGGTAGATACACCGGAAGGCTGTGCTGCCATTCAGCGTGACCTGGACAGGCTGGAAAGTTGGGCAGAGAGGAACCTGATGAGGTTCAACAAGGGCAAATGCAGGGTCCTGCACCTGGGGAGGAACAATCCCATGCACCAGTACAGGCTTGGGATGGACCTGCTGGAGAGCAGCTCTGTGGAGAGGGACCTGGGTGTCCTGGTGGATGACAAGTTGACCATGAGCCAGCAGTGTGCCCTGGCTGCCAAGAGGGCCAGTGGTA